CCTTTGTAAATTTGTGATTTTGGTGTTAGGCAATTGTGTCTTAGCTGTTGACACCGAAGCATAAGTACCAATAAATTAACAAACAAATCTTTAGTAAAATCAAAGGATATTCTCAGGAAAGTAAAATACAAATGACAAGATGGGGGAACATATTTGCAAATCATATATCTGATAAGGGTTCTGGTATCCAGATTATAAAAAGAACTTTTACAACTCAAGAATGGAAATAAACATAGCCCATTGTAAAAATGGGCAAAGGGCTTAAATGACATCTCTTCAAAGAGGATAGACACATTGCTAACAAGCACATGAAAAGGCACTCAACATATTCATCATTAGGGAAATGCAAATTGAAACTACAATGAGGTATCACTTGACACCCCGAAGAATGATATAATTTTAAAACATGGAAAATAGGTGTTGGCAAAGATTCAGAGAAACTAAAATCCCATACTTTGCTGTGGGAATGTAAAATGGTACAGTCACCTAGGAAAACTGTTTGCCAGTTCCTCAAAATGTTAAATGTAGAGTTATCACATGACTGAGCGGATCCACTCCTAGATACATATTGAATAGAACTGAAAATAAAATCTCATACATGAATGTTCATAGCATTATTCCTAATAGCTAAAAAATAGAAATAACTCAAATATCCACCAAATGATGAATGGCTAACAAAAGGTGGTGGATCTATACAACAGAATATTATTCAGTTATAAAAAGGAATGAAGTACTGATGTATGGTACACCACAGATGAAGCTTAAACACTATGCTAAGTGAAGGAATTCAGGAAAAAATGTCACATGTCATATGATTCGATTTATGTGAAATGACCAGAGTAGGCAAATCCATGGGGACAGAAAGTAGATTAATGGTTGTCAGGGAAACAGGGTGTGACTGCTAATGGGTATGGAGTTTCTTTTAGGGATGAAAAAGATGTTGTAGAATTTTTTAAAAAAAGATCTATCTATTTATTTGAGAGAGAGAGAAAAAAAAAAGAGAGAGGGAGAGAGAGAGAGATTATTTTCTACCCATTGTCTCACTCCCCAAATATCCACAACAGCCAGAACAGCCAGGGCGGGACCAGGCTGAAGTCAGGAGCCAGAAACTCTATCCTGGACTCCCACATGGGTGGCAGGGATCAGGTGCTTGGGTCATCCTCTGCTGTTTTGCCATGCACATTAGCAGGAAGCTGGATGAGAAGTGGAGCAGCGGGTACTCAAACCAGCACTCTGATACAGGAAGCCAGCACTGTAAAGGGCAGCTTAATTCACTGCACAACAATGCCAGCCCCGATACTGTGGAGTTCTATAGTGAATATGCTCCTGTGAATATACTAAAACCCACTGAATCATACACTACAGAAGGACAGATTTTGTGTATATGGATTATACTTCAGTTTTTAAAAAGGGGGCAGATATCTGAACTAAATCTTAAAAGCTATTATTAAGTAGACAATAATGGGAAGAAAATTCTAGGCAGAAAGAATAGAATGAGGAGAGGCATGGAAGCCACAAAAAAAGCAATGTACATTTAGGGATGTGGAAATGGCTCAGAGTGGAGTACGGGAACCTACACAGGTGTGTCCGAATTGAGCTAATAAGCTGGCCAAGGGACAAATGACAGCCCTGTAGGTCAACAAGGGGGAGATCGCGTGGTGCCGTCAATGGGAATGAGGTCTCCTCTAGGAGAGTGAGCTACCAAATTGCCTGACTCAGCCCATCTTGTCAAGAAAGCCTCTGCTATTAACTGAGAACCATGCAACAACTCTACTCCCCTCTGGCAAGCACAACTTCCACTTCCCTGACCACTTATAAAACACATTTACTTATAACCCAGATGCTTCTGTTTTTTCCCTAGCAGAGTAGAAGCTTCGTGGGGACAGTCTTGACTGTGTCAGTCCATGCTCAGAGTGCCCTATGGAATTCCTAAGATGTTTAATGAGATTGGCAATTTTGACAAAACCTTCAACGTCCTTAGCTTCACAAACCTTGCTCATTTGGCATGAATGCCCTCCTACTGGCAAGTTTGTTCAAAACTCACCCTGCTCTATCCCAGACGCTACGTCCTCCGAAGGCTTTCCTTGCCTCCCTTCTTGGCTGTGAACTCGCCCCTCTTTTAAAGAGGTTGTATTTTGTACTTTTCTTAAGGTACTGATTTTTTTCAGACCTTCATGGTACAGTTCTCTTGCTCCATATTTACTGGGATCCAAGCACCTCAGGATACTACAGTCAGTGCCTTGCCCAGCTTTGCAATTCCCAACACTGTGCTGGGTAAAGTCTGAAATGAACTGTTCAACTAGTGGCAAAGGTGAAAGAATCAGAGACAGAAATAATCATTATCACACAAGTTTTTAAAAAATCCTAGAAGAGGCTGGCACCACGGCTCAATAGGCTAATCCTCCGCCTTGCGGCGCCGGCACACCGGATTCTGTCCTGGTTTCCCCTCTTCCAGGCCAGCTCTCTGCTGTGGCCCAGGAGTGCAGTGGAGGATGGCCCAAGTGCTTGGGCCCTGCACCCCATGGGAGACCAGGAGAAGCACCTGGCTCCTGCCTTTGGATCAGTGTAGCGCGCCGGCCGCAGGGGCCATTGGAGGGTGAACCAACGGCAAAGGAAGACCTTTCTCTCTGTCTCTCTGTCTCTGTCTCTCTCTCCCTGTCCACTCTGCCTGTAAAAAAAAAAAAAAAAAAAAAAAAAATCCTAGAAGAAACAACACAAAACAGGATGCAGGCACAAATAATAGTGTGTGTTGAATCAATTTGCGACCACTTGGCTTGTTGATTTTCATCACATGGATTTCATTTTGCTAGAACTCCAGAAGACCCAGACAAAAAATTAACGCTCTCCCAGATGCTGCCTGCCCAAGTCTGTGGTTTTCCTATGATATAAACAAAAGATTCTGAAGGTAGGATCTCTGCTAATTCTTGCTGGTGTGGGTCTGGGGGCAGGCTAAGGATAGGGGGATTTTGAGGGAAATCCACCTAATGAGCTGACAGTTCGTGTAAGCAACACCTGCAGTGTTAAGCTCCCTCCAACTGTTATTGTACTGGCAAAAAAAAATTCCACTCTTACTTTGGTAAATGCAAAAATTCTTTCACCAGCTGCATTCCAATCTAAAGTGTGTGGCAGTTCAAGAGAGATGGCAGCTGGAACGTATCACATTCAGGATGTAGGGAATGCTCACCAGCAGCTAGGGGATAATCAGAGCCTACAAAATGAACCCTGAGAGCCATGTTCCTTTAAGGAAATGGATTAGCTTCAACCTGCCTGCTCAGAGTATTCTGCTTCTAAACACTGAGAATATTAGAAATATATGTCGTAACTGATTGGTGAAAGGCTCAGTCTTTTGAAGAGAAACTCCGAGACAGCTGTTATTTCAGGACTTCCCTGTTTGCTTCATGAAACTCCAAAGCCTAAGTTTTGGTTCTGGCCTCATTTTTCTTAAATATTTACAATCTATGGCAAAATCAAGTGTAGACCAAATGCCTGCTAACCCGACCTGTGACACGGCCACTCCTCCTGACAAGAGGAAAAGAGAACAACATTTCTTGAGCACCTGCTATGTGACTGGCACCAGACCAGCCCCTCTCTTCATGTTCTATCCTCGCAACAAGTTGGGGAGGCAGACATCCACATTTCACCCACAGAAGAGCCAAACTGGGCCCACTCAGGAAAACTCATTTGGTCAACACTCTCAAAGGAAAACCTGGAAGGGTTAGATCTGTCTAACTCGAAGTCAAGGTTCTTTCCGTTGCCCTGTGCTACTGGCCTGGATGCCTCAAAGTAGTTGTTTCTCCAGAATGTGCAAGAATGCTACCACAGCCTACGACTCTGGAATTGGAGCTGGCAGGCATTTTCTGCAAAGGAACAGACAGTAAATATTTTAGGCTTTGTGAGCAACATGGTCTTCCTGTTGTCACTCAGTTCCACCACTGTGGCACAAAAACAGCTACAGGTAATATGTAAATGAACAAACGTGGTTGTGGTCTCAAAAAAACTGCATAAAAATAAGCCTTTGGCTTCCTAGCTACAAGGCAGCTTCATGCTGTTTGGGCTTAGAAAGCAACAATCGCCTATTTCCACACGAGAGTGTTCCATATTCAAGACAAGATGGGGGTAGGGTAGGCAGTGAGCAGTGTTGTGGAACAGCCTGCAGCACTGGAATCCTACCTGGGTGCCACTTCGTGTCCTGCTCCCTACTAAGGGCCTGGGAAAGGCAGTAGCAGACAGCCTGAGTGCTTGAGGCCTTGTCACCCATGTCAGGAACCCCTGGCTCCTGGCTTTGGCTTGGCCCAGCCCCAGCCATTGTGACCATTTGGGGAGTGAACCAATGGATGGAGTATCTCTCTGTCTCTCCCTTTCTCTCTGTAACTCTGACTTCCAAATAAATAAGTCTTAAAAAAAAAAAAAAAGACAATATAAGGGTGGTACAAGATTTGATCCATGCACTTAAGGAATTATATTTTTTTGAGAGGAAGAAAAAGCACAAGCACATAAAAGCCAAATATAGCAACCAAAGTGGCACAGAATCACCAAAGCAGTGGATCTGAGGGCCAAGGGCTGACTGACAGGTTATCACAATGTTAGAAAACCAGAGTTCACAACCATCAAATAGTTTTGCACTGGCACCAGAGCTCAGAAAGAGTCAGAAAAACTTCCCAGTGCACAAGAATGAAGAATGAGTCAGAGTTACTGCTTTAAGCACTAACAAAAACAACCATTCTTGGGAGACCACAGTAAGGTTTTTAGCATGTGTCAGATGCTAATCAAAGATTCACCAAACACATTTGCCACTCCCCCACTCCCCCAACAAAGGACAAACAACTGACAAAAGGCAAAAGGCAGTAGAAGAAGCGAGTGCCTCAGGGAACTCTGGGAGGTCCTCCCATTCTCCTCTCGCTGGTATCTCTGGAGCCTTGAAGAGCAGAGAAGCAAAGATCTATGGAAACTACCAGGTCACCCTTGGAAGTCTGGTAGGGACTGGTTTCCTGAAACCGTACCTTGCTCATGGCAGTCAGGGCAGGATCACAAGCAGCATCGAGGTCCTGAACCAGCAGCTGAATACTGCTGGAGATGACACTGCAAATCAAACAAATTATTCTGGTCACCACTGAAAAAACGATTACCTCATGACTTGACACAGCTCCTTCGAACAGTTCAGACACGCGTGTACAAGTGAGATGCGTCATTCCGTCAGGAAGGCATGAGCTTTGATGAATGACAATGGAAAAGCTGTCTGGCTCTCTCTGCGTGTCATGATCTTACTCGGAGTCAACCCCATCACAACACAAGGTTCCAGGTCAGTCTCCCTGACTGCAATTTCAGAAACCCCTCTTTGCAGCCTACTTCGGAAGTACCCATTTCCCAAAAATATTTATGTCAGAACCAAAAAAAAAAAAAAAAAAAAAAAAAAAGAGGTGAGAAAAGAGGAGGAAACAAACTGAGAATCTTGATTTTTCCTACATTTAGTGGTTGACGTAAAAGCAAAAGCTTGGCTCCTCTGTTTCATTTAATGGCAGCAGTAGAGCAACTAATCACAACAAAAACACTGCAAGGTAACACTGAGGAACTATTCCAAATGGTGTGACTGTTTGAACTTACTGGGCAGAGTTGCCAAACACATGCACACACGCACACTGGCTGAAATCTGGTCGTTCACACACCCTATTTCAAAACATGGGGGGTGGGCCTGGCCCTCTGTGGATTTAGGTGACAGCACAGAGGAGACCTGGAACCTGACTTTCCTGCAGGGATGGTTATGGGAAGATTTCTTCTCTTTGATTATTTTCAATAGTGCCACAGTGAAGACCCTGTAAGCTAAAAGAATGCCTGCATCTGGGGAGGCAGAACGGGAGGCAGCTGCACCACCTTTAATGCTTGTCCTTAGTGGCTGGTGCAGAACAACCAGGCCCAGCAGAAGGCTCTGGAGACCTCCTAGGTTCTGTAGTGACTAAAGTTCGCAGCCTGGGACATGCTGCTTCCTGAAGCAGGGAGGGCAGGCCCTGGCAGTCACGAGTGTGAGGTACGTACGTGCTGAAGGTGTCCATTTCTCCAGTTAGATTGATTCGTTCAGTCAGACTTACATCAACTTTTTCTTTGAGTTTTTCTTCTAGCTGTCAAGAAATGAGAGAAATAGAAACATGTTTAATGATTACCGAAAGGAGTAAGCTAACAGTAACAGCTAACCTTAAGTTTGATGACGCGGGTATGGTTTTATTGACTGACTCATGTAATTCTCATACCCCTGTGAACAAGATTCTAGAATTATCCCCATTTTGCACATGAGAAAAGGGAGGAGCTACCTACTTAAAATACTAAGTAGTAGAGCCAGGAATCAAAATTCCTCCAAAACCTGCATCCTTTAGTGCTCTGCTTTTTATGACACATCTGTAACTCCCACCATTAATTCTGACAAGATCCAGATTTTAAGATATTTTGTGATTCATGAACTGCAGACTTGATAGTGGTGGTAATATCAGATAAAATATTTAGTAAGTGTTAGAATGAGCCAATTACCTAGATAAAGTGTTGGGGATACATTGGGAAACAAAAGAAATATGGTCCCTGACTTCATTAGCCTATGGTCTAGGACAGAAATAGCCAAAATGCCCCCATAGTTTCAAAGAAAAATACAATTGGCCAGGAATTATAACTATTTGAAAACATCCCTGGAAGTTGGTTAATATAGCACTTTGAAATCTCTCAAACTCTAAGAATGACATTTCGTTTTAAATTTCAAAATGCTCTTAGGGGAATATAAATCAGTGTAAGCTTTTTGGGAAGCAATTTAGTAAGTATACACACACTATTTTTTTTTAAAGATTTATTTATTTATTTGAAAGTCAGAGTTACACAGTGAGAAGGAGAGGCAGAGAGAGAGAAAGAGAGAGAGACGTCTTCCATCCAATGGTTCCCTCCCCAGATGGCTGCAACAGATGGAGCTGCGCCGATCTGGAGCCAGGAGCCAGGAGCTTCTTTGGGGTCTCCCACATGGGTGCAGGGGCCCAAGGACTTGAGCCATCTTCTACTGCTTTCCCAGGCCACAACAGAGAGATGGATCAGAAGTGGGGCAGCCGGGACTTGAACCAGTGCCCATATAGGATGCTGGTGCTACAGACTGGGGCTTTAGCCCACTGCGACACAGCGCAGGCCCCTGGCATGATTTCTTGAATTTTAGTTTCTAATTCTTCATTGTTCAGATTCTGATTTCTCTTTAGTTTCTTTGTCCATTTCTCTTTACTTCTCTGTAATTTTTTCTTTAAGGAAACTGGGTTGTTTTCCTGTAGGTTTTCTCATGTTTGGGTTTTGCTGATAAAGTCTACAGTTATGAATTGACCTGTTCCTGTGTCCCTTGTATTTCCTGTAAATGGGTAGTTATAAGTGAAAGCTTGATCAGGCTCACATTCTTTGTTCCGAGAAGACTTTGTGACAGTACAGATTTGAGATCTCAGCAGTCACTGAGGCTCAATGCCTGCACCCATTACTCCATTAGGAAGTACAGACACGGATATTTTAAATTTATCTTTCTTCTTCTTTCTTTGTTTAACTTTATTTATTTATTTGAGGGGAAAAGAGGCAGAAAGAGGGATCCTACCTGCTGATTTACTCCCTAAATGCCTGCAACAGCCAGAACTAGGCTGAGACCATAGCAAGTAGTTTGGAACTTAATCCAGGTCTCCCATGTGGGTGGCAGGAACCCAATTAACTATCTTCCAGGTTCTGAAGTCAGAAGCAGAACTACACATCCCAGCTATATTAATCACTAGGCCAAAAGCCCACCTATCTTCTTTACTTTTTAGCTAAACTTCAGCTACAAAGAGAAACTTCTTCCTGTTAATGATACATATCAGATATGAAAGGCAGGACAAAAACTTTTCCTTTATTTATCAATATTTGATTCATACCGGTGGTTCCTTAACATCTTCAAAGGTGATAGATGAAAAATTTTTTAATATTTATTTATTTATTTGAGAAGCAGAGAAAGAGAAAGAGAGGTCTTCCATCTGCTGGTTCCCTCCCCAAATGGCCGCAATGGCCGGAGCTGGGCTGATCTGAAGCCAGGAGCCAGGAGCTTCTTCTGGGTCTCCCACACAGGTGCAGGGGCCCAAGGACTTGGGCCATCTTCTACTGCTTTCCCAGGCCATAGCAGAGAGCTGGATCAGAAGTGGAGCAACTGGGTCTCAAACCCACTCACAAGGGATGCCGGCATTGCAGGCGGCAGCTTTACCTGCTACGCCACAGCACCAGCCCAAAGAATGCTACTTTTATAATCAGGAAAAACAACTTGCAGTAAATAAAAATGGCCACATATATGAGTCATCAAAAGTTTCTGATCTAGTAATACTTCTAGAATTTCTAAGAATTTGTTCTAGAAAAGTAATACTAAACATTTAAGGTGCTATATTCAAAAGATGTTATTTGTAGAACTTTTACAAAAGCAAAAATTTGAACAACAAATAATTATCAGGGACATTGTTAAATAACATGATATAGTCCCTTAATAGAATGTTATATAGCTACAAACAAGGGCAGTAATAAAGATATTACAGCAACAGAAGAAATGAAAATGCTATAATACTACTAATAATAAAGAATACAAAATTGAATTCAGGCTATAAGATATAAAACTATCTATGAAAAAGGATTGAAAAGGAAAGAAAGAAAACATGTCAAATTGCTAACAGAATTATTTGCAGGTGCTGGGATTGAAAGTGATTATTTTTATTGTTTACATTATGGCTATTTTACTCAAAATACTGTATTTATATGTGTGTATGATTTTCTGCACACACATAAAATAGTTAAATAGGGTTTCTATGGGGCTGGCATTGTGGTGTAGTGGGTAAAGCTGCTGCCTGAGACACTGGCATCCCACATGGGTGCTAGTTTGTGGCCCTGCTGCTCCACTTCCAGTCCAGCCCCCTGCTAATGGCCTGGGAAAAGCAGTGGAAGATAGAAGTCCTTGGGTCCTTGTTGCCCACGTGGGAGACCCGGATGAAGGTCCTGGCTCCTGGCATCAGCCTGGCTCAGCTCTGGCTGTTGCAGCCACTTGGAGAGTGGACCAGTGAATGTAAGACCTCTCTTTCTTCATTTCTATTTCTCTCCTCATCACTGTGACTTTCTAATAAATAAATAAATCTTGTTTAAAAAAATAGTGTTTCTTCATAAAAGAGCTCAGAGCCCTGCCCTGGAGGCCCTCACAGACACTGCCATCTTGCCCCAGAGTGCTGGCACTAAGTGGATCGCTGACTGCCAAGTGTTACGGGTCATCCCCTGTGGCACGCAGCGTGATCACATCCCCAGCAGAGCAGCGCCTCTGCCTCTGGCTGGCTCGTCCTCAGCTGTGGGCCTGCGGGAACACTTCTCCAGCTCCTGCTCCTGCATTTGTGCTCCGGCTATCCTTTAACGACTGTCTTCCTATGATCCAGACATGGGTACATAAATACAAAAAGGTGGGAGGGTGGACTCTTCCCAAATTACGTTCTTCCTCTCGGCCTTAGGAGATCCCAGACCAAACGTGAAAAAGAACTTCTAATCCCATGTCGAAGGCTGAATGGAACGTTATTCCAGGTCTTCCTTTGGCTCCATCAGTTCTCTGAACTACTGCCATTTGGGGACTCCAATAGTCATCACTCTTTCCTGCTTCAGTTCCCGAACGTCAGCATCCCAAACAATGGTTGTTTGTTTCAGCAGAGTGAGAATGCCATATCAATTTCAGGAGACATATAAAAACCCGAAGGATTTTTCTGCTTAGCTTAGTAACACTTCTAAGGGTGGAAGAACTGCCCCTGACTCATCGCCACCACAGGCTGGGTCCTAGTACCATTAAGCATGCTCTTAATTTTCTCCTATGGGAGACGGTGCTGCTGACCCACTTTCAGGAGGTCACGCCCGCTGGGCGGCTCACACAGCTCCGGGAGGAGGCCGGTCACACATTTCTGCCCAGTCTCCTCTGAACAAGGCCCTTCTGTAGGATGGCTGCCCCGGCAGTCTTTTGGCTGTACCCTTAGTTCACCTCTGTGGGAGGCCAACTGGTCTGCCCAAGGCTGTGGCAGCAACAGCCCTGTTAGGGCTCAGACTTCCTGACTGAACAGTGTGGCCCAGAGTTCAGGACAATGAGGTGGTGGGCGGGGCGGCCGGGAAGGCTCACCTGCTGAGTGGTGGCCAGTGAGGTGGTGGGTGGGGCGGCCGGGAAGGCTCACCTGCTGAGTGGTGGCCAGTGAGGTGGTGGGCGGGGCGGCCGGGAAGGCTCACCTGCTGGGTGGTGGCCAGACAATGAGGTGGTGGGCGGGGCAGCCGGGAAGGCTCACCTGCTGGGTGGTGGCCAGACAGTACTCTGCTGTGCTCAGGATGCTGCAGAGGAGGCAGAGCTCCTCGAGGGTGAACTTGGCAGCTTCTGAGCCCTCCTTTTCCTTGAGGAGGCTGCTGATGGTCAGCCCTCCGCTGCTCGTGGTGGTTCTGAGGAGAAAGAACAGGAACTGGTTAGGCTGGAATGTCTAACTTGCTCCCTCAACCGGAAACTGCACATTGTCAGACAAAGACGACGGGGAGGAAAGGCTGGACGCAGCTCCAACCAATCCACAGACAAGGAGTCCTTTTCCTCTTGACCTTGCCTTGACCATCATCTGTTAAGATCCTCTCACCAAAAAGGGAGAGAGGATTCTAAGCATCTGCCAGTAGTTGGTCACACTAACCATGTGATCTGATGATCACAGAGAAGCCCACTGGGCTGCTTTTCCCTTTAGCTTGTAATTTCCTGATACACAGAACTCATTTAGGATCACTGGGAGCTCAACAGCTGGTCCCCAACTACTTGTGTCTGAGGAAAATCCTGCACTGGAAGTTGTGTGTTGTGCTTGTGGAGTACACAAGTGAACACTACGGCACGGTGCATGCTCGGGAGACCAAAAAGCATCTCACACCGCCACAACTGCGTTTTCTGTGGGGCAGCCCCTCACCTTCAGCCCCAGCTCCCAGTGACTTCTAAGGTGGTAACCTTACCCACTAGTATTAAGATGCTTTGGAATCCTCTGTGGGTTCCCTTCTCCTTGTCCCCACTTTTGTGAGCAGTCTCTTTACTATGAAAATCCCAGCTAAGGACGCCATTTGTTTCCTGCTGGGATACTGACTGAGACCCATGGGAAAATGCTCCCAGGATGATATTAAGCTAAAAGCAGCAAGCAGGGTATAAAGCCATAAGCAGCCTAGTCCCAGTTCTGTTAAACAAATGAAAGCACACATATCACATACATTGTATATAAAAGATGGAAAGATATATACCAAAAAGTTGAACAAGTTTTCTTAGGTGGTGAGATTACAGATTATAGATTTTAATTTTCTTCTTCATGCTTTTCTGTGTTTTCTAAGCTATAATGAATTTGTATTATCTGCATAATTAGCACAAAATTCTTAAAAAAATTTTTTTTTGACAGAGTGGACAGTGAGAGGGAGAGACAGAGAGAAAGGTCTTCCTTTTGCAGTTGGTTCACCCTCCAATGGCCGCCGCAGCTGAAGCGCTGCGGCTGGCGCACTGCGCTGATCCGAAGCCAGAAGCCAGGTGCTTCTCTTGGTCTCCCATGGGTGCAGGGCCCAAGCACTTGGGCCATCCTCCACTGCATTCCCTGGCCACAGCAGAGAGCTGGCCTGGAAGAGGGGCAATCGGGACAGAATCCGGCACCCTGACCGGGACTAGAACCCGGTGTGCTGGCGCCGCAGGCGGAGGATTAGCCTACTGAGCTGCGGCTCCGGCCTGGCCAAAATTTTTTAAAATAATTTTTTCTATAGTAAAAGAAGTTATCATTAGTAAAACATTCCTGTCACTTCAAGTCTGGAAAGGATTTTATTCTTTTTCCTCTAAATAATGTAAAACTCCCATAAGTGACATATTTTAGTGACAATGACAGAAACTAACTCCAGGATTATTAAATTTAATGATGGGAGATTTGTAAATGCTAGAATCAGAAACATTACTTATGGTCATGATTGATTACAGTAAAAATTACTGTATAACCAACCTGGCCCTAAAGCCCTAGTCAAATCATCCACTAACTTTAAGCAATAAGCAATGTAACAACATTTTATGTCCAGACTAATACAGTGTTAAGCAATGCTCCTGTCTCCACCAAATCCTACCATACCTTTAAACAACAGACTGTCCTGCAAGATGCAAACACATGGTAAGAAACACTTGAGAACCTAACAAGACAAGGGAAACAGCACTGACATGCCTCCCTCGTGGCTAGCACTCCAGGGCATCATTTCACTGAATGAGGTCTGAATGAAATTGCTGATGCTATGTTAATAGTTACTTCCACCATCATCTCACTTTTTTTGGGGAGGAAGGGCAAGCACCTATAGTGGAATTCGTGTGAATGAAGCCCCATGTTAGTGGAACAGAATCCCTTTAGACCACTGTGGTAAGATCTGACCTACAGTGGCAGCCAGCATGGGGATTTCTGCTAATGGTCTTGATCAGCTGTGGAATGTCGTTAGGGAGGAAATAGTTTCAGGCCCTGGGGAACTCAATCACACTGTTTTCCTCCTTAGTAGTTCAGTAAACAACTTCAGAGTGGATTTCCTAGCAGATTCCATATTTAGGCATACTTACGATCTCACTTCACCACCCAGACCACGAAGAATAGGACTCACTTGGGCAGATTGCCAGAGAGGATTTTCCAGGCATATTCTCGGAGGTACTTCTGGAAAATGGTGGTCAGGGCGATCATTGGCTCCCCAGTGCTGAGCTGAGAGCACTGCACCATGCACTTCTTGTAGTAGACAAAGAGGTCGGCACAGCTGGGGAGCACGGCACCCCCTTCATCAGTATTGGGCTTAGGTGGCCCTTGGGCTTTGAAATCAGCCACAAACCGATCTATCAACTCTCCGAGGTTTCTAGAAAGAAAAAACAAAATGTTCTTTTACTTCAAGAAAGGCAAGGCAAACGTGCTTTTTTGCAATGTACATAAATTACTGCTGAATAATCATCGCTACTGCTTTTTATCAATATCCTCACTCGCCACCACCACCCCTGTGCTAAGGGTGGCAGTGAAGCTCAGCATTTGTAGGCTATTTTATGTTCGCAGGGCATTTCATTCTCACACCGACCCAAATCCCTGTGAAAGACACGAGTGATTGCTGGCCCTCTAAAAGAAGAGAAATCAAGACTGAGGCTGTTTGTCACACAATTCAGTGGTAGAGCTGAGTCCAGACTCCAAGTACATACAGTGGTTCTATGACCATATTCGTACCATCTCCCCATTCCACAAGTGAAGGCCCTGGATAACAACAGCAATCATTTTCTGAACACTTACGCTCAAGGAGGCATTAGGTTGGTGCTTTGGATGCATCACCTCATTGAATTTCATTTATCCTTCACAGTAACCTTACAAAGTAGGCACTACTCTCACTTTTAAAGTTAACCACTCTACTGCTTAAAACACAAAGTTACGATGTCAGCAAATATTTAGACATCACAAACCTAAATGTGTCCAAGAGACAGATGCCTAAATAAAGAGAAACTGTAAAAACATACACAAAAATTAACACTTTTCTTCTCTTTAAATGCAGCTTTTTCTTAGCACTTCCAAAATCAAACACATTATGATTTTTTAAATCAAACACATTAAAGAAAGAAAGAAAGAAAGAAAGAAAGCAAGCATCCTGTGACACAAGGGGGTAGGAGCAGCTCCAGATCTGCCCTGGGCCCCGGTGGTAACAACGGGTGCAATTTTCTTCTCTTTCTCACTCCCAGATCCCTGAATGTGCCTTGGCCACACGGAGTCATGACTTGTCAGAATCCAGCAGAGCTCTGTCGATTGTTCTCTGCACTGCACTGCACCGCTGTGCTGTGTGAACAATGGGAGGGACCCCCTCTACTCTTGACATTTTGCATCTTTTTAGGTTTCTGTCTAAGGCTACAGGAATCCAGCTGTGTTTTTAAAATGTATTTATATAATAGTCAAGAAGAAGAAAAAAAGGAACCACACACAGCATCAATTAGCAGGGACAAGAAAAAACTGACATTTTACTCCAGGGCTTTTGTTATTGAAGGTTTATTATATCCAGATGTGGCTACAAGAACTTCAGGCCTAGGCTGGGTCTTTGTCTGTGGCGACAGAAAGCAGGGGAGGCTCTCGCTCATTTGCCCTGGGAAGCTACGTGGTCACCACCCCTATTCCTCACAACCTCTTCTTGCCTCAAGTTTCCCCTGGCCCTCCAGCCTCTCCTCCACAGCTCACCCTACACACTGAGCAGTGACTGTCACCTCCTCACCCCCTCCTGCCTGGCCGCCACGTTCTCCCTCCATATTTCATTCACCCTTCAAGTTCTGCTCAGGTACAACCACTCACATCAATTCCCTCTCGCAACCACAACATCCACCATCTATCACGCACTGACACTGGATTAAGAAAAAAAAATTCTATTAATTGACTCACTCACTCACTCACTCACTCATTCATTCATCCATTCAGCAGAGGCAGAGAAAAGCAGAGAGAGGACATTCCCATCAGCTGATTCACTCTCCAAATACCCACAATGGTCAGGGCTAGGCTGAGGTGGAAGTGGAGACAAGAATTCAATCTGTTTTCCCACACTGGTGGCAGCAACCTAGTGACAGGATGCATCACTGCTGTCTCCTATGGTCCGCATGGGTAGGAAGTTGCAGTTGGGTAATAAACCCAGACACTTTAATATGGGACAAGAGCATCTTAACCACTGGCCTTGATGCTTACTTATAAAGTGTAAGGACACCATGGGACCGGCGCCATGGCTCACTAGGTTAATCCTCCGCCTGTAGCACCGGCATCCCATATGGGCACCAGGTTCTAGTCCCGGTTGCTCCTCTTCCAGTCCAGCTCTCTGCTGTGGTCCAGGAAGGCAGTGGAGGATGGCCCAAGTGCTTGGGCCCTGCACCCGCATGGGAGACCAGGAGAAGCACCTGGCTCCTGCCTTCGGATCAGCACGGTGCGCTGGCCGCAGCACACTAGCCGCAGTGGCCATTGGAGGGTGAACCAACATAAGGAAGACCTTTCTTTCTGTCTCTCTCTTTCACTGTCCACTCTGCCTGTCGGGAG